CATACACCGTCTTCGAGTAGTTTTTGTCGAATTTCCCGTCCGTAAATGCTCGGTCTCTACGATTTATAATATTCGACAGTTCGTATTTTTAGTCGCGGATCGGTCGCTATTACGCTTTCCTGGCAGTATATTATCGGTGGTAACAACCCGTTTGACGATATTATATAATTATACCGTTATACGATATTTTATGGTATTTGTATTTCTTTGTATTTATGTTCCTTACCATACAAAAACCCTCTGAAGGTTTTTAGTAGTGTAATAAAGTTATTATTAATAAAAGCTGTCTGAAACACCACTTCGATCTCCGATCTCAGCAAATGCAGTTCAATTTACTAAACCACAATCCTTTGCTAAATCCAATATGAAGTAAACAAATTTCTTCCCTATAACTATGATGTGATGACGGAAGAGAATGGTGCAGTATTTAATCGACCAACATTTTAGTGGCTCTCTCGTTTTTCAACGAGATTTCTGGATCATTTGCTATGAATGACTATTGATACACACATTCAGTCAATTTGTGAAAATGTTTAAAACAACAATCTGGTAATTGCGCCCTTTATGGCATAGACGGGAAACATATTCGATTCGATCTGAAGAGGGCACGGCTGAGAAGCAATTTTTCCGACGTTCAAACAATTCTCATTGTCTTTCAATTGAATACGATTGTGAAAGCAGGCCATTAACTCTCGTTAGACGGTACACACTAATTTTCACCGTATAAACCGCCACGTTTAAGAAGTACAAGGCCCCTCCGCAGCGGTTATGCCTGTTAAGGTGTATTATAACACTTCAGTTTTAGTCCAAATATTTGAATACTCGAGTACTACACGGAACAGTGTCACGCCATGTCGTTGAATCAACAATCAGTCATTGCGGATATGTACACAGTTAAATATTAACTGAACGTTAGCTGGTGTGAAATTGACCTGTGTATATGCCCTTACAAAAGGTCTATTTGGATGACGTTCGATCTGAAACGGCTAAAATATTGTTTCATTACAATGCCGTTCTTCGTGCTAAGCTTATAACACCTCGGGAGGGAATCCAAACACAGAACAGCCTTCCTTGTTTGTTTGTACATTGTTTGGTATAAATAGTTTTTTCTCTCACTCGAATGTAATATCATCAAAACTGTCCACCTATTCTGTGATTGAGTAGCTCGTTATTATTATTGAGAGGTGAAAGAATGCGATCAAACCAGTGTGACCCTATTATTAGTAGGCCTATTCAGAATATCCTAAAATTCACACAACATTGTGCGTGCGATTGCCCCCTTCAAATCGTGCTATCGGTAACAGTATACGATTTAATGCGACCCGTGTGAATATGTAGCTATCAGTTGGAATGTTATTGTTCACGCTCATTCTAACAAATGTTTGCCACAACAGGAGAAAAAGGCCCATATATAATACCGATCCACTGCTGTGTTTTAATCCCAATAATATACACAATGACACCCTATGAGATCGAATTTGGACAACTGTTAAGGTCCGGGGATATACCACTCTCAGGCAGTACGAGGGGCTGCAGGTAATGCAAAACAGGGTGAGTGAACATCGCGAGGATAAACATCCTCTCGCTTCCAGCAAATCATAAAATGTTCTGTTTTCGCTGGCGTATATAGACAGCTGCACATGCGCAGTTGTGTATGATAACGGGTTTGGTAGGATAACTGAGCTGAATACATATTTTCGAAGAAGAAAAAAAACATCGCTTCCTGTGAAACCACACGGCGGACACTAATGTGAGTCAGACACGTCCGTGGGGTCAGTGGATACACACTCGGATAAAGGACGGAATAGCAGAGGAGAAAAAGCCTCGTGTGGGCGATTTGAAAAGCATCATATAATATTACATATCTACTCAGAAGCATTCAGTTCCTGCAACACGACGCGCGACAGAGAGACAACGTTGTGTGTAATTATATATACCTCGAAGTATAATCACGTTTCCTGAAATCACTCCTTAGTCCTGAGATGTGTATTTTATAAACGGATGGGTCCAGATTGCCTCTTCGTGACTGTTCCATGGTTATTGTATCTGCGTGTGAGTTATCCAGTCGCTTACGTGTTCGTATAAACAGAGAATCGATCCAGACTAGCGCAGCACCGATTTACGGTACCTCGTCGTTGCAGCTGGTAAAGCGTTAAGTATTAACGATGCAGTGGGTGAAGTCAACATCCCCATTGTCCTCGAGGCGATTGCTGATTCTCCTCAGTGGCTTGGTGATGTTTGCGTCATGTGGTAAGTTTGACCTTTATTTTTTTTATAATGCACGATATCTTACAAGAGAGCCCGGTGCTCTTGTCGCACAAGCTTTTCACATTGCCGTCACGGTGTTGCACGGCAGTTTTCCCAGCCCAAAGCTAATACGATTTATGTTCAATCCTAATGCAACTACACCGGTCTGGATACACCATTCAACAGAACGTCTACAATGAAATACGTCCCCGGTAGCTTGTGGGAACTAATCAGAATTAGCGCAAATGCATAAAGGTCACGGAGTCCGTGTATCTTACGAACGCATCTCCACACTAGTACTTGAGTTGCGGAACGCGTTCAAACTATGCTAACGGGCCAGTCGATCAAAAGGCCTTCAAGGAAAACACTCTACTGCGCAGACAGATTTTTCACTTGCTGTTACCACCATGTACACACCCCAGCGTTCAATGCACACTATGCTCACAAAAACCACCAATATTTAGTCATATAGTTGCCGTCTTGTCATCCTCTTACTGTGTTCAATTAATTATGTGATCTTTCAAGATCGTACATTTGATAACACCCCCAAGCGCGGAGGCTCCACGGTAAATGGATGTCAAGAAGTAGACCAGTCATTCGTCATGATGTTATACGCAGTATCCGAACATTCCGGAGTCGATCAGGGCTGGTTTCTAAGCTGAACATCCGCGGTATATGTGGCCACCGCCGAAATTACAATAAAACAACACAAAAACGTGGCTCACTACACTATTTCACCCTGTGACGACCTTCCCTTCCCAACTATCGATACAGCCACACGTCCTTATTATTTCTACAACGCCGCTCTTACTACAACCCTATAAACACAACATAATTGGGAGCGTAGTCTCTCTATAATAACTATCCCCGGTGCGAATTACAGCAGGGAGAGTGGCAGCATTGAACCGTTGCGTGGTCGCCGTATCTTTGTAAATAATTTGTTTTATTCATAATCAGTATAAACATTACCAGTTGTGAGTAAATTTACTGCAGATTCACACAACCCAATTGTAAGAGTGACCCTATTTCATTGCGCTGATAGTGTCGACAACATTCTCTATGCGTTTACTCCAGGGAATTTAAAGCAATTAAGTCAAATGAATTATTCTATATACAGTTAGCGTACTGATATCATTTCCGTGTCGTGTTCAGCGCACATTATATGCATGCGTGTATCTGTATATCGATTTTGAATCAGCGGGGTACGATGAACCCGAAAGGGTGTACAAACAAAGAAGGTTACGGATGCGCGGGTTACCAATGGGTTTATAAAATAGGTTTGTGCGTCAACGTCAGGACATACGTTTCCAAAACCCTTTAATAATTTCAAGAATATTTGTTATATTTGTGGCAACCATTACAGCTCAAATAAATCAAGCATATCTAAATTTGAATGTGACTAAAAGAAATTAAACAAATTTAATAAATAAAAACAAAGGACAAAAATCATGTACATATGAAACATATCCTTCGTTGTTATTGATGATTACCGTATGCTTGCAACAACATTATAAAATGGAATAAATTAGTATTATTACAGTGAGGCGAAAATATTGCATCGTCGTAGTATTTCCCATTTTTTTTAACATGGCGGCTAAATTAGCACGCCTGTTGACGCACCAAAAAAGGTGGCAGTTACACAAAAAACTCGTAAATGGTGATGTTTTTATTATATGTAATATTAGAAAGCGACAGCTGTTGGTATGCCAGATTCATCGCACGCACCCCGTGGCATTTACAACGTCTCGATGTGGTTTGAATAGCAAGAATAACATTCAAACGACAGCAACCCATCAACAACAAAAGCAGAGGGAGCATATTTATTTAGATCAGTCTACTTTCTACTTGTTCATTTTAATATTTGTGAATGGGATCAGCAAACGGCACTGACAAGCGCCCTGGCTCATTAATCATACATATTTCCTGATAACCTTTGACATTTTAATTTTAAGCACGCAATGAAATGTCACAATTTTTCATCGTTTGTAATTTATCACGTGACACTCTGGAAGAACCGAATTTAGCCGATCTGTCACGAGAATTCCCTCTCGTATTTTAGCCATATCAACACCGAAACAAAACTATTGTGTTGTGTTCGCTCCCACCAGCTCCCTTTTACCATAATAATATCTACATATATACGATTTTTGTTTCACTAAATGAAATTTAAATATTGCTTCATTGCATTACTTTGGTTCTTTTTTTTCTGTTACACACAATTGTGTATGACTAAACGCACCCAACACTGTTTAGTGTTATATATTTTGTAAACTGTAAACGACGGTTTGCTGTTTGAAATCGCCTTGACGCCACACGCGCTTTTCGGCAACGAAAGTAAAGTAAGTTTTCACGATAATTATAAAATAACAATCTGCACTGATGCAGTGTATGCAGTGTTCTGAAAGAGAACTAACTAGTCCAGTTGTGTCCACAGCCCGTTTCACTCCATGCACTGCGCCACGTGACACTAAATTACTCTCCGGAAAACAAGTTGTGAATAAGGAAATTGAATTATCATTAAATAAATATCGGAACAGGAAATGAAACCGATCGGTCGGTCGTGAAATACATGTTCCAGGCACGCCTCTCTGATCAAGAAATGAATCGCAATGAATGACTCATCGGATAATTTTTAAAACTGCCATGCACATTTCGCTACTAGTTACCATTTTTAAAGGGCTGCAGTCGTCGTGCCGCGTCTTGTTCGATATGTGACTCATAGCGACGTATTCAACGCGTGTAAAATACATTGTTTATTTACATGAAATTCGAACACGGGCTGCGCGACGACCACAGCGCTTTAAATCTTTTGTTTGATCATCTTTGAATGACACCTCGAGCGCGTTCGAGTCACGTGATTTCTAGTCGGCACCGTGATTATAGTACATTGACCCGCTATCTCCATAATCATTCGTTTCAGTTTGCCTTCAAAAACATCCCGGCAGGAAATCAATAGTTATTACTATCGAAATTTCACTCAGCTATGTGACCCGTGATCAGGCATTGAAATTGACATCATTTCATTCACACTTAAATGTACTAGTTAGGTTGTAGACTGGCGCAGTCGGGGCGATTAATTTGTTTTTGTAGTTTAAATAAAATAAAAACAATTCGCGAAATGGAGGTGCGCGAAATCCCCTGTAACTGCGAAATCACCCCGACTGGTTTATTCTGCATGGCCCTCTATCGACACTGCAGGAACCCGTCGATTTTTCAACGGGTAATTATGTTAATGAGTGTTCTAATTGAACAATCGTCTAAGCCAATCACAACGTCTCTTCAACTGACCTCTGACCG